AGGCGCCCGCGGACGCCCGTTTCCCGCGGTTTAGACAATTTAATACAAATAAATATTTTATTTTAAATTATAAAAACTTGGCGCTGCTCAACCGAATGTTAATAGTTATAACTACCATCTCGCGTGATTTACAACTAAAGAATTATACTCAAACTATGTTATTAATACAACTTTAAAAAGGACATTCCACTGAATACATCACAGGCGCAGGATATTTATGTCCATCAATGGCCCACGCCATGACGTATTCATGAAATATTCTTTTAATATTTATAATTTTCAAGAACTTATAACACGTTCTGCAATGTAGAATAGTTCTGTGTACTTTTAACAGTTTCATGTGATTAACATCATTATTTTGTAATATATGTACATGTATACATGCATACACTTTGTTTGACAATAATTCTATAATGTGCAATAAATTTCAATGCTACTTATTAGTTATATTGTTGGTTATATACAAGTAATGTTTGTTTAGGTGATTTAAAAATTGCTAGAAAAAAGGCAATCAAAGCTGAAACTACAGACGACCTTTCATCACATACGGAGAATGTAAAGAAAAAACCAAATAAAGTATATAAGCGGAGACAAGACATGAATAAATACAATAATACTGATTCCGATACTGATAAGACTAACTGTGATATATCTGACGATAGTAACACATACCCATCATTTTCACTTTCTGGCAACAAACATGTTGAACATGGTAAATTAATTTCTTTCCTAGTAAGAAATCTTTTTATTTTCAAAAATAAATTTTCTTTTTATTTTACAGATAGTAATCACTCTCAAACGGAAAATCAAGATCAAAATATTACTAATGGTAAGTATTTTTGAAACTTTAATCTTCATATAATAAAATATATAGGTATTTACATTATCAACCAGATTAATATACTAAAGAAACCAAATTCCAACCTAGCGTATTGGTTTGTCGCGTATCCTCGTAATAAGTTATGATCCACAATGTAGATGAGACCCGTTATAATTTTGTAAGTTAAAAGTTGAAGACAATGATAAACAAACAAGGCTTTATAGTTTCAATGTAGCTATTTCATCAAAGTATAAAAGAGACAATATAATAAGAAAAATATACGCAAGTTTAGAAGTGCATGCATTGCGTAAGTACGTTGCAAGTTTATCCTCCCGATTCGTATCAATTTGTGAACAACGTATCATCCATATGTATTATTAATGATACGGGAAATAATTTTATTGCAGTTCATTTTATCGCATAACTATTTACAATTCAAAATTATATATAATACACGGATACGCAACACGTCCGACGGCTTAGCGATTTATACATTTTAATATCTACTTTTGTTTAAGATAACATAACCATTATAATATACATGTAAAAATTATTATTTCAAAATTGATGTTTTTTAATTCTAATAATATATCAATTTATTACACTGTAAGATCGGTAGCACGCATGGATTCAACGCGGAAAAAGTTATCAACATATGTATTCTTATGGTAGGTACGGCGGGCTTGCGACAGTCTGCTATAGTGTGCTACTATAGGAATACATGTGTTGAAATGTTTTCTGCGTTGAATTCATTCGTGTACTATCTTAATATAATAATCAATTAAATTAAATAACCACTATTTATTAATTGATTCATATGTTCTTGTTATTTTAAGATACCTTCAAGCCAGCTACAGAAAACGTTCGTGTAAATGCTGGTAAATAAATATTTTTATTTATTACTATTATATTTTTGTATTTTTTAATACACTTTTTTGTATAATATTCTAATAATTGTAATACAACTCAACTTTCAAATTTTCAGAATTCAAAAAACAACTTTTTAAAGAAATTCATCTGATTCATTTGAAGTTAAATGATCTTATGAGTAACGTTGATATACTTATTAAAAAAGTCAGATGTACTGATGAGCCACAACTTTATGATGATACTAATGCGGCTGTTAAGACTCTAATACAATCGTTTCCAGTCACTACAGAGCAGCAACTAATGTTGATGGAAGAATGGCTATCGAGTTCAGCTGATAACATACAGGCATTGGTGTGTAAGATTACCTTATATTTTATGAGGTTATTATACATGGTAAAAGTTATTTTCTAACAAATAATTTTTCTATTATTTTATGAATTTTATATTTTAGATTCATCAACTGCGTTTAATTGGAGGCGTGAATCTTTCCCATGTAATCAAGAGCGTTATGTCGAGAGTTATTTCAAACGAAGTTGGGATGCTGTATTCGTGGGAAGGAGTTCGGCAAAAAAAAGCTTTTAAATCGTTTAAGTTCATCCAAGTTATCATTGGTAAATATATTATTTTGTACACTCTACTTAACAATAATTTTAAATACGTATACATCCTTGAGCCTAGCCTCGTGACTGTGTTACGTAATCAAATGATACTCAATGTGATAGTCAAATAGAAAAATTTTATTTCGAACTTAATCTTGTTACATAACTTCATCGCTTTCATTCCTTGATTCTACTATTTTTTATTTAATACATATCTTATAGGTTTATAGTTCAATCTAATGTGTATCCAATACTGCGTAACTGTATTAATGCCTAACATTATTATGTGCATGACAAAGAAGTATTGACAATCAGTAGGTCGTTCCGAATCTCAAGATGTAACCCTGCAATACGTGTATTATGCGACGATGTTACGCGTTAAAGTTCGCAGATCTGTCGATCCTGGGTTCATAAATCGAAATCAATTTGATTTTTTAGACCGTTTGATTTGATATCGAATATATTCTTTATTGTAACATTTTACGAAGATGAATGGAGAATTTAGACGATATCAAATCGAACGGTTCGAAAAATCAAATTGATATACTCGTAGATTTGATCATTGAGACACCGGTTACGTTCCACAGTTACATTGTAAGTCTCAACTCAAATGCGGACATAGTTTTATATTCACTGTATGATTTTAGGTGTTGTTCGACTGAACCCCAAAACAAAATCTGCAACAGAATCGGACATCGTAGAAGTAATAAAAAATTGGTTAGTTAGAAGTAAAGAACGCAGTAAGTTTCAATTGAAAAAAAAAGCACAAGATACTGCGTGTCAAACAGGTTCCGCTTGTGCAACAGGCTATATTAGTAAAGAAGTCTCTGTTTCTGCAAAAGACTGTGATCAGTCAGAATAATTATTAAGTTACAACTTCGCATTATTATAAGTGATATTTGTTTCGAAATTTTATAATTTAATTTTCTTTAAAAGTGATATTATGAACTTAAAAAAAAGACACTGTGTATCAAACAGGTTCCGCTTGTGCAACAGGCTATATTTGTAAAGCAGTCTCTGTTTCTGAAAAAGACTGATCAGTCAGAATAATTATTAAGTTACAACTTTGCGTTATTATAAGTGATATTTGTTTCAAAACTTTATAATTTAAAGTGATATTATGAACTTAAGGGGTTATATGCACCTAGAGACTTTGAAAAAAAGTCATCTTTTCGCTTTTTTTTAAAGAAATGTAAAGCACGTAGTTATTTGGGCATTTGCTATCAAAATGTAATTATTGTTACTATAAAAAAAATTAAACTTGGTTTGAAAATATCAATAAATAACGAAAATATCGCAATTAACGCAAGACCTTATTTTGCAAATGACGTTTGCGCCAACTGCTGATCATAGAGAAGTTATCTGAAACAGACGGGACAAGAATTTTTTAAAAGTTAATGAAATTATCTAGTCTTTATCGTAGGGGGGTTTTTTTTAGAACGCTTATGTTTTGTTTTACAGCCAAATCCCTTTCTTTGGCTTTCCTAAAAAATCGCACTTTTCAGTTTACTTGTCCGCCGTTTTGTTAAAAATTAATATTTAAAAAATCGGCTACGACAAAGACTAGATAATTTCATTAACTTTTAAAAAATTCTTGTCCCGTCTGTTTCAGATAACTTCTCTATGATCAGCAATTGGCACCGCAAAACGTCTTTTGCAAAATAAGGTCTTGCGTTGATTGCGATATCTTCGTTATTTATTAATATTTTCAATACAAGTTTAATTTTTTTTACAGTAACAATAACTACATTTTGATAGTAAATGCTCAAATAACTACGTGCTTTACATTTCTTTAAAAAAAAGCCAAAAATGACTTCTTTTTTAAGTCTCTAGGTGTATATAACCCCTTAAAAAATTAATTTACTTTAAATATTTTAAGTTTTTAATTTATTTTAATAAAATACTTATTTTATTTTCGTAACTTGATTTGTTTAGTTTATTTTTACGTTTAATTTATTACGTAGCCTTGTGCAATGCAGGTTCAGAAAATTTATGCGCTTAAAAACTTAATATTATATACCTTAAACTCTTATTTGTTATTATATAGAAATATATATAATTATATATAACAACATGTACATACATGTATGCATATAATATACAGGGTGGGCCATTTTAATTTATACAGTCGATTTTTTAAAAAACTAAAAGAGATATGAAAAAATGTTTCAGACAAAAGTTGTATGGTTTCGAGGGGGACATAAGATGGTACCATAGGTTTGACCTTGAAGAGTAATTTGAAGGTCACATGAAGGTTACCTTCAATTTCTTAAATGGAACCTACTATTTCTCGTTACATATTCTTGTAGGTTATCTC